AGAGAGAGAGAGAGAGAGAGAGAGAGAGAGAGAGAGAGAGAGAGAGAGAGAGAGAAAGGGAGAGAGGTAAAAATACAGACCTTTGTACAATGATACCGGACGAGAGACGCAGAGCCGACATTTCAGTCTCGACTTTGAACGACTCAACCTTTAGACGACGAGGATGACGAGGACGGGGCGGAGGTCGTGCGAGTTTTGTAGCATGCGAGCGCGAGTTCACGCGATCTTACCGTCGATCGAGGTAGGCAGGTAAACAAAATGTCGCGGAATCCCTGGGAATTTTGTCGAGCTAACAAAAGGGAAACGCCGGGGCGTATCGATAGCCAACGGGCGAATACGAAAAATGTCACACAAATAAAATGTCACAGACACACGACGACGGTGTCGCAAGTGAGATTGGCCGATCGACGTCGGCGGTGGCGGTGGCCGCGGCGGCGGCGGGAAAAGAGCAATTCGATTTACGTAACTGGCATTTTGATGGCATGCAAGAGATACGCTCTTCGTAACTGTCACGATTACCGTTGAGAAATTTAATTAAACCGGAATTATGCGAGAGATCCATCGATCCCGGACTGACTCATAAATTATAGCGCGCCTTTCCTGACGTCGCGTACGGGGAAAATGATCAACTTTAAATTAATCGCGTCGGCTATGACACCGCTTTTGCATGCGAGCCTCGGCGCGAAACTCGTTGAGCTCTTCGAGCCACGGAGTTTCAAGGTGTCAAGAGGTGTCGGGAGGTGTTCGGAAGTCTCGGAGCGTCGCGATTCTAAATACAGAGACTCGGTCAATCTGTTTGATGACCATGAGAAATTTTCACTCTTACTGGACCATGAGAAATTTTGAGAAAATAAAGTAACGTGCGTTCGCGTTTGTGAGAGCCGAAGGCAACGCGAGAACCAAAGACGGTAGGCCGATTCGCGACGAGGGAACATCGCGTCTATCCTATCCGGTAGCCGCGCTCGTCGTCTTAATGGAGTTCATAAAGATTAGAGCGAAGTCCGCTGCAGGGCTGGTGAAACCACTCTCCCGAGAACGAGTTTTCGCCGCTTTAGATACATCCAGCGCGAATATTGCGCATCGATAAGTTTATCTCGAAACATCAGCCGGCAATCCCTCGCAGCAAGAGGTGTTGGCACGGCTAACGCGACTAGTCCGAGAAAAGCCACTTCCGTTTCGAGCGAGGCGTGTGGAGTCCCGATTTCACGGCATTTTTCGTCCCACGAACGCTCCATTTCCCCCTTTTTCCTTTTTCTTTGTGATCTCTCGAACATTTCGACTCTCGTTCTTCTCTACGCAACTCTCATCACGTTGCTCTCCTTAAGTGGAGTAGTAAAAATGTCCCTGATTGAATCGGCAAAAAGATAAAGAGACTACTTCATCGATGAGCAGAGAGTATATTTCACTGATCTTCAGTGAAAACTCTCTCACTTTATCGCTCCATCTTATTTCTCACTGATTTTGATCAGTGGAAGCAAGATTTCACTGCGAAACTTAGACAAATTTGTTATATTCGATGCTTAATCCAAGTTTTTGCGTTTGTAATAATCGAATTAATCCTTCAAGGCCTAAGCATCGATTCCGCTCGAGTAAAATTTTCATCTTTTTAAAATGGTCTCTAAGGACGCTTCTAACAAAGAGTCTTGTGTCAAAAAACGTCCTCCTAAAGCGTGTTCCCAATATGTGAAAGTAACAATTCTAGTAGTAATGTGCGAGTCAAGAATTCATCATGTCGAATTAAGTCGAATGGACGAAATTTCACTCGAACCAAATCAAATTGTCGAAACTCGAAACGAACTGAAACTTTATTTTTAGTTAACAACATAATTAGTGACTTGGTCTACAAGAGCTAGTCGTTGGACATAATTTACTACGAAGTGCGCAACCTGGGGAGACTATTAGTAAAATACTCTACTAAGAAAGAGAGAAAGAGAGAAGAAATTTTTATTCCATGAATTGGAATATATAACAAAAAATAATGACCGCGAGATATCTCGAGACTACCGAAAATCTTTATATTTATGACTACACTGTAGTCTCCATTCCATAAGTTTCAGTCTCCATTCTCCTCGAGATATTTGTCATTCTCGAGCGCGATACGTTTGTATTACTTTTACGATCCATTACGCGCGGCTGGGCGCGATTGACGTGGGTTGTCCCCGAACGCGTAATAAATATCACGTCTTGTCCCCTTTGGATTAAGAAGGTGCGCGGGGGGACGCGGGGTAAGAAACTAACGCCCGCGAAGCTCGTAAAGCAACGGATCGCCTCGTATAAAATAAAAGGGAACGTACAGATTAACGGCCGCGTGCACGTCGCCCGGCCCGCTCACGATCGCGCTCGTCTAATCGCGCCCTCCCACGTGCCCTTCGTGCCTCTCCCCGACGTCCCGCTCGAGGATCATGTGTTCCTGCGAATTTAATTGTCTCCATAAATATCGGAGTCCCTCTGCCCCACGCAGAGCCGCGTTCCTCGCACTGCAGATGGGGAGGAATTCTCTCCCGTCCCCTCTCGCTGCCTCGCGTTCGGAGATTCCGAATTCCTCGTCCGCCCTTTGTGCCGATTGGAATGCATAATGCATCCTGCGCGGCTGGCGTATTAATTATCAACGCTCTCAAAACCCGAGAAAGAAGTCGGGTCTTTAAAGATCCAAAGTCTGGATAATTGTGAGTATCCTGAAATGAGCAACTATGTGAAAGTAACAATTCTAGTAGTAATGTGCGAGTCAAGAATTCCTCATGTTGAATTAAGTCGAATGGACGATATTTCACTCGAACCAAATCGAATTGTCGAAACTCGAAACGAACTGAAACTTTACTTTTAGTTAATAACATAATTAGTGACTTGATCTACAAGAACTAGTCGTTGGATATTAGAAGTAATTTTAAATTTTAAATAGGAGGATAATTTTATTAATATTAGATAACTCCACCACCTCTTTCTAATTATTTAATTCTATGTTAATTCCTTTTAAGTTTTGGCAAATAAAGGGGGTTCAAATATAACTTGCAAATATAATATTATATGCCCACTCTTGCTTATTAGTGGGAAATCTGACTTTCCAAGATCACTAATGCGAAATTTCTATTTCAACCAGCTAGAATTTGTTAGATAGTAACCGTTTAGAAACTGAGCAGAAAAATACTGTTATTGGTCAGAAATTAAGCAATAAAAATGATTAGTAAACGCTGTACAGTTTTTTTATCTAGTAAAAACTCAGGAAACATTAGCCAGTGTTTCTTTGTCAGACATTAGCCAATAAATGAAATTCCTGATTAGTTATTGGCTAGAAAGAGATCGGAATCGCTTTACTATTTATATTAACTATAGAAATTATTCGGTTGCTTCGTGTAAGTTTTTTTAGAAGTTGAATGATTGCAATATACAGTAGGGACATAGCGTGCATCGTGAATGTATAGAAAGACACGAGAGCTGACGAAGCTGTTATTAATCCTGCCATCGTAAATATCCTGCGGCGCCTGGCTGCTTCATCCTGGCGAAATTCCAGTGACTGTGCTTCCTCTCGTAAACGTCCGGTCTTTATGTCGCCGTTCAATCACCTCTCTCTTTCTCTCTTTCTCTCTTTCTCTTTCTCTCCAGCGTCTGGTGTTTGCCAAACCCGCGACATCCGTCGTCGGTCCGGCATGTTCCGCATGGATTTAATTCGAGCCTTGGACGATTCCATTGACTTCCACGGCGCCAATGTCCGCCGCGGAATAAATCTGCGTGCGCCCGCGGGCATCCGGTCCGCGTTTCCGCCATCTGACCGATCGATGTTTCAACACGTGATTCCGTATGTTCTGCGATATAAACCACTCGGCCTGAATCACACGGGTTGACGATCCGCCGACTGACGAACGTATTCCGGATCTTCCATCTCGTTTCGCCGAGTTTATGACTATTCCCCCTCCCCCTTACGCCGAATTTCAAAATTAGAAAATTTCAATCTCGCGAGGATCCGAGCGTTGCCGAGTTTCCGCGAGATTCAGACAGCGGAGTTAAAAAAAAAAAGAAAACAGAGTTTCTTTGTTCGCATGATCTCAAAGTTCTAAGCTTTCGTTGAACACATTGAAGATGGGCTCGTTGTTTGTTTTTGTTTGCAGAGAGGTGTGCGTGGACGAAGGCCAACAACTATCATTGGCGCACGGATGTCAGTTTTACGAGGTGAGCGCCGCGGAGAGTCCCGCGGGAGCGGCATTGGCCTTTCAAGCGCTCCTGCGGGAGGCGAGGTCGGTGCAGCTGCTGCGAGCGTTGCCGATCCGCAGGAAGCTGGGTGTGCACTCGGTGTCGAGGGTCCTCGGCACAATCTTCGGCAAGAACACCACGAAGGATCGCAAGAAGAGGCCGTCGTTGAGCATATGACGCCTCCTAGGCGCCCTCCTCCTCGGAGGACGAGACGAGCCGGGCAGAAGGACCGACATCGTCGTCCTCAGCAGCAACGTCTACTCGAGTCGCTGACGAGGTCCTCGGCAGGAATGAGTCGCCGCCGATTTCAATTTACTATGAATCTCCCTTCGATCTTGTGCCTTTCCGAAGAGACTGATCGCGCGATCGTATGAGATACGATGACGATCTCGCAAGCGCCCTTTCGGACGAGAGCGAGACATCTCGAAAAGCGCGCTCGGCATGAGGGCGATCAAGCTCACACAGTCCCGCAGCGTTCAGGATCTGAAGCTACGTGGATGCAAGACTGATTTTCCGACGCCATGATGGCGCGGCTCGTCCGAGGCCACGCGAGGACCCGCAACCCGAGAGTACGTCTGAGGTCTTCCAATAACCGGGACGACGATTCTTCTGGGTTCCCAAGACATCCGGCCTGCGAGAAGGTCGTTCCGCTCGTCCGGAGGGCGAGATCAGTCCCCCTGAAGAGAAGAACTGCTGCGAGTGTTCGCGATCCTGTTTCCAGCGCGGCGTTGAAACGCGTCCTCGAGACGCGAGCGAGCAGAGCGAGTCAACGCCTCCTGACTGCTCAACGATCGCTACTTTTTCTTTCCCTTGGAATACATCGCGGTGACATCTCGCAGTGATCATGAGTGACCGGCGAAGTTGTTCCTGAACACGGCGTTAGTCCTCTTAAGACGATCGACGGAGAACGATTCTTCCGGTTGCGCCAACGCAACCGGTTCCGCGAGTGCAAATTTTATAATTTGGTACGCATAACACCTTGCAACACACTCACTCGGTATTTAAGTTATTACGTTGCTAACTCTAAACAGTATAAGCCGCCTCGCTCTCGTCGTTTTCGCTATATGTACAAACGTTCCGCGCGTTTCAAGAGACACCCAGCAGGTAGACGAAAGCGACAAAAGCGTTATCACGGCCTCTCATTTCCTTCTCGTATTCCCAAAAATTCTCCTCTCACGAGCGAAACGGATTATACTGTCTGGAGTTTGTTTAATTTCTATCTTCTTGTGTCTCTTTCGATGCTCCCGAACGAAACCCGTGAGTCTTTCAAATTTCTCTGCTCCCACCGAGTGGAGCAGATAGCAATTCGATTCGATTTCCTGCCTACCGCCTTAGCTGTCTCTCGAGGGGTGCTCGCGATCGGCTCGCCGAGAGCGGCACCTTCGTCGCCGGGCGTGATTGATTCGATGACTTAAATGTTCCTAAAGAAAGTAGCCTAAGTGTAAATAGCGTACACGTTCGCTTACGATACTCCGCGGAGGGATTCTTCGTGGAGACTCGAGTAATCGTTAAGACTTGCAATACGAGAGAAGAGAAATAATGAGTGCGATTGTTGAAACGCCGAGCCCGTTAAAAGTCGTCGTTGCCGACTGATCGAGTGATCAGGACGACAACGAGCACAATCGAGAATCTCGTTTCGGAGGTTTCGTGCCGAAAGACAATTCACTCGCGATTTTATCGCACGTAGCTTTTGCATCTCGAATTCCGAACGCTATTCCACACGTTTGCGATGGCGAACATCCTTTTTCTTATGTCCACATTATCAAACTTCAAGTCTGTTTTACACAATTACATAGAAAAAAAATAAAATGTAAGCTTTGGGAAAACTTACTCGTAAGTAAACCGCGAACCTCAGATCGTAGAAGAAATGGAAACGACTTTTAATGGGCTAACAAGTGTCAACGATCGTTCGAATGGCTGCCATGTTACGTTCTTCGGTGACGACAGACCGATTGTCTCGTCCACTACTTACCATAGAAAGTCGTCGGACGTTTGCCTTTTCGCTAAGCTCCACAGTTCGCGCGTCGACGTTTTGTAAAGTCGTTCGCTTTTCTACGACCAGCATAGAGACTACGATCGACTGTAAGGTTCGCGTAGTTCGTAAACGCTTTCAGTGTCTTCCGAACGACGTAAAGCTCGTCACGCGACGTTCTCTTTCGCTAGAAACCGCTGTGCTCCTCGGAGGACGGAAGAAACGACCGGATACGCACACGTTGGTCGATTAACGAGCAGCGAATTGCGCTTTTTTGTCTTTTTATTCTTTTTTTTTTTTAGCGCGTCGGTCTCTAGCGGAAGAAGAGCGCGCGTGGGTCGAGCTTTCAAGAGTTCCTCGCCTCGAAGCGAGGCAGGGCTCAGCAGCGAAGTGCGTATCTCTCTTCTCGCGATACATTCCACTTGAAAATTAGCGTCTAATGTGTGTGAGTGCGTAATTCGATTCCAGGCAGATCGTCGCTGTATTCGAAGTGCTAGTCACTTGTTATCGAGAGGAGATAATAATAAAGGAGCGTCTTTTGTGTTAAGTCGAGTCTTCGAGTCTTCGAATCTCCGCCTGAGTTCGCCCGTTCCCAGCGCCAGCGTGAGTCATCCGCGGTGGTCATCTGCAGCAGTCATCGGCCGAGGGTAAGTCGTTTCACCCGCTCGTCAAAGAGGTACAAGTAATTGCGCGTACAGACTGAATATATGTCGAAACGGCGACATCTCTTATGTTGTCGCAAACAATTGGGGGATCGCATCGATGGTCCCACCAAATATTTACATAGCAAGCCAAAAAATGAAGAAATATAGACTTGTTTACTAAAGATTGACAGTAGAAGTCATGTTACTCATTGACAGATTAGGCAGTATTCGACAGTACTCTTTGAATATTTACTCGGTGACATACACGTACATTCAGCGAGTTTCTAATTGTTTCGAGCACGCCTTTCGTTACATTTTCGAGCTTTTGGCAATTTGGACATAGACTCTGAAATTAGCCTGTCACTGTATCGCCCTGCTGTGCGCCAACGGTACGTGTGAGACCTCGAGGGGCGTCACGGTCGTCGGTTTGGTGAAAAATCGGCCAGACGATCTCTCGCGGATTTAGCGAGTCTCGTTAAAGCGATACCGCCGCGCGATCGAATAACTAGTGATTCGGGCCAAGGTTTCGGGTGCAACGCGTGCTCGTCTCTCCCCTCTATCATTTACTCTTTCTCTCTCTCTTCTCTCTCTCCTTCTTTTCCTCGGGGGTCGCGGTACAGAAATAAAATACCGCTCCCCCGGGCCCCGATATATGCATTCCCTCGCGATGACGGCACGATCGCCCGCGCGTCCACGGAAGAATGCAAAAAAAGGACGACGCCACGAGAGCGCGCGCGCCATCGAGGGGCGGTGTGGAGTTCGATAGCTCCTTGCATAGAATAGAGAAACCGACGCGCGAATTTCCGACGGCAAAAATCTCAGCGGGATTCCGGCGATCCCGATGCGGCCAATGATCCGCAAACCGAACACGAAGGGTCGACTAATCACTGCGGTATATAAAAGCCTACCGCAAGCGAACCATCCGGTCGATAAAATTTAATCCCTTAAGTGGTGTGCTCAGAAAAGTTCTATAGTAAAATTTCTTTTAATTTACTTCAACTATTGTATATTTGGTTTTTCTCACTCGTAGCAGATACAAGTGAAAATAAAATATATTTTGTATTCAATTTTTCAACATTCTTCCGAGAAAACAGCAATATTTTAAATCATCACTGAAAAGATTAACAAATATCGCCGATTTCTTCTCGAGATGGGATCCCATGGGCGCGACCTTTGAACCGTCCGTATATCAAGCTAATTATTACGCAGGTTAATCATTTGCAGGCTAATTATTATTAGAGAAATTTAATCTCTTAAGTGGTATGCCCAGAAAGATCTTCTGGTAAGATATTAAATTTCTTTTGATTTTTATTTGAACTATTTGTTTCGCTCACTCATAATAAATATAAATGAAAATCAGGTATATTTCGTATTCAATTTTTCAAAATTCTTCATAGAAAACAATAATGAAGAGAAAAAATTTAGATGCTTACTAAGAAAAAGAAACTATCCTGAAGGAAACGGCTAGTATTTTGAATCACCACTGAAAAATCGTCGCCGATCTCTCCTCGAGATGGGATCCCATGAACGACCTTTGACCTGTCCATATATCATACAGGCTAGATGAAGCTCGTGCACTTTTTCGCGCATGGTGGCGCACGGCGGCGAACGACATTACGAGGTGACAGGTACAAGGGTTGAAAAGCCGGTCGGGTTTAAGATTTCCGAGGCGACGCTCGTCGTTTCTAGCGAAGAAGTCGCGTTAGAGAATTCCCCGTAGGCTGTGCCTCTCATATTACCTCGTCCTTTGCATCTGAGCTCCTCCCAAACACCCTACCTGCCCCTGCGAGCCGCCCCCCTCGCCCACGTTTCGCCGTTCCCCGAAGACAAACGATCCGGCTGTACGGGTAAAACGATGCCCGGTCGTCGATTTATCGCCACGACGACGTCGCGACGCGTGGGGACTATGTCGCTCGAGGACTATATTGGTTCGCCCGGATAATTCCAATTTGCGTATCTCACTCGGGAAATCGAAACTCTAAACCGAATCTAGAAACTCTCTCCGAGCAGCCGGCTGCGAAGGGCAGAGAAGGCGCAGGTATGTACACGCGCATCGCTGCATTTTTAAGTTTCGACCCTGCGCTTTTTCGTTGTAGCTCCGATATTTTTATTCGCTTTTGAATGTCGCGACATCTTTGCTATGTTATTGCGATATATATGGTAAAATTATCCAATCATTGACACCCAATTATTGTATTATTTAACACCCAATTATTTGTATCCATTTTACTCCGAGAAAAAAGACTTGAAAATTTATTTGTGAGATATAGAATTGATCTCTTGTGAAGTCAAGTATTAAACTTTTGTATTCCATCGATAAATTTTCAAATGTTTTTTTACAATATTTTTGTCACGGTGTATTTATTGACATTCTAGAGCCTGATTTCTCTCGCGTTAAATAAGAAGTTTAACTGTAATACTGGTCGCGAGAAAAATCGGGTTTCTTTAGAGTATTAATGACTAATGTCAATAATTGAGTGTCTCCGTCCTCGTTATTCTTCGATTTTGCGAGATTTGACACGAGTTGGGAATTGTTCTCGAACAATTCTCTCGAGATTCGCACGATTCCCAGCTCTCGACACTTTCGCCAGCTTGAACCGCGTGTCAATTCCGCAATCGACGTCGCGTTGCTTTCTTTACACTCAAATGTCGAACCCGCTTATCGAAAATTGTCCGAGTCCCGCGTGTCAATGTTCCTAACGAGCTCCGCGATATAATTTCGATATTAATTACTAGCAGATAAAGGCGCATGCGTCAGGGAAGTACCAAATTAAAGTCGGAGTTAAAATCGCGATTAAAACGCTGCTCGACGGGACGCGACGCGAGGCGAGGCGAGTCAAGGCACCGCAAGGTATGGCATGGCATGGTATGGCATGGCACGGCACGGGAAGGTGTGCGCGGGTGGCGTTGCTCGCTAACGAGTGCAATTTAATCCGGCGCGGCGCGCGATATCGCCGATAACGATATCCCGGGCTTATCTCGCGCCACGCCGTAGAACTGCCGGTAGCCGCTGCGCCACGGCACGACGGCTCGCACGACCCGCTAATTTTTCGCGACTTTTCATCGCAGCCTTAATCAGCAGCCCGCCTCGCGCTCCGCTCGCTTTCGTCCCGCTCGGTTCCCACTTAATTAATGGCGCCATTCGACAATTAGAAATTCAGATTCATCCGAGCATGCGAGCGAACGAGCTCGCGCCCGAGGGGCCCGACAATGACCACCTGCCGATCGCGATCCCGGAGGCCGACTTTCGACAGGGACGATAACAGGGAGCCGGGCCCCGCTAGTGATGAGGGCGGGAGGAGGGGGGAGGGGGGCGGGAGGCGACGGGGGAACGGAAAAGAGAAACAGGAGAGAGAATCGCGGCTCGCTATCGGCAAAAGGCGAAAGCGACGGTTTCCACCGGTGTTATCCGACTCGACGGTGAAAACGATGCTTAGCCACGTTGCTCTCGCCCTCTCCCCGGCCCGCCTGCCTGCTTACCTGCCTGCCTACCTGCCTCCCCTCCCTCCCCCTTCGTCCGCTCTCGTGGGCTCCGTGTCGTCGGGAATAAATCCGCTCTATGGATGCTGCGAGCTCAGCGCAGACGTCCGGCTCTTGTTTCGCCGGCCCGGCGATACGCTCGCGAATATCCCGGCGAGATAAAGTTGCTTTCGCCGAATGATAATCGGCGCTAAGTTGGTCGAGCGCGAGCTCGTTTCTGCTAGATGCCGGATGATCACATCGGACGGATATCGTGTGCCGCGCGAGTCGGACGTTACATGAAAACGCGCGCGTAACGCGAGAATTAGATGACGGACATATTGAACGGTGGTAAATGTCGCTAGTCTCCCTTACGTAAGTCCTCAGCTCTCGGCAACCCTTTACGTAAGTGCATCTTTGTAAGGGGTATCCAGCGAAGGAGTTTTCAAAGACCTCCATCGTCTTTGAGGAATTCGCGACTCGTTCTTTCTCCAACGGCAATATTCCCGCTCTCCCACCCCTCCCTCGCCCTCTATTGCACAGAAAAATACATACTGCATTCAAGAAAATGTTACCTTTTTCAGGGATATTTCGTAAGTTTGCATATCCGCATACACACAGAAAGTATACTATAGTTTTTCTTCATATCAATTCTTTTTGGTGGGCCACAAAATTAGACTGTTAGTAAAATCCATTTTACTAAAAAAACATGACAAATTTCGCAAAATATAACAAGTATTTTGATATCACATTTCAGTTCTTGAAATCTAAGAAGCACGTATAAAATGAAAAGATAGCGAATTACTGCAGAATATCGATCTATTCCTTGGTTACAAAATTCTGTAATAATTTCTACTATAAAATTCTCTTCGTGTGAGTGCGTCAAATATTTATTTAAAATACGTTCTGAATCCTAGTAAGATTATATTTCAATCAAAAATATTAAATTGGAAGAAAAATTCTGTTTGCCTGCGCTACATAGAAGCGAACCAATTTTTTCTTCGATAAAGTTTTATAACGTACTTGAAAGGGAGTGCATTTTTCTTTTGAGCTCATCTCATAATAATGAGCTTGTGATGAATATATCTCAAGGCATATTATCAAGAGAATGAAGCTAGTCTTAATAAGATTGAAAGAAGGATAACTTTAACGAGAAGATTGAAAGATGAAAAACAAAACGGATAATCGCTTTTCTTAGCAGTAGAATAATAATTTCCTCTCAGCGCGAGAAAAATCGCTCTCGGAAATGCAACCGTCGATCTGTCGCGCGACGAATTTCATTCGCGTCATTTCGTGAGCAGATATTGTTACGGGATACTTTATAAGTTTGATAGATTAAATGTATCGTCGAATTACACTTTATAACGCGATCGCCGCGCGATGCATGTGTATAATACATATGTACACTAAAATCCCACTTAGCGCCTCTAAGTGGCAGAAAACG